AACTGCCAATGACTGATCACCTTTAAACTTTCTGGCCACGCCCTAGCAACCACTTTTGGACCCTAGAAACCGTCCCATAGACTTCCATTGCAAAAGACTCTCATTGACTTTACATGGGATCAAACTTTGTGAGCTCATAACTCTGCATCAGACTGTCCTACAGACTAATGGCTGAGCTCATTTAACTCAGTCTAGCCAGCAGCCAATCACTGATGGCCTTTTAACTTTCTAGCCACACCCTAACAACCAGATACTGCACCCTAGCAACTGTCCCATAGACTGCCATTAAAGAGGTTCAGACTGATATTGTCATGCTGCAGTGTGATAGAGACATGGGGGTTGTTTTTAACTGTTCATACTGGCAAGAAGCTTTGATACATCATCAGTCTAAGCTGTCAATCAACTCCATAGCAACAAAACAGACTAACCTAGCAACGATATAATAGCAGCTATATCTCAGCATCAGAACATCGTAGAGAGGCGGGGGTTGGCTTGTTTGAATCAGGCTCGCACACCATCTATCTATCTATCTATCTATCTATCTATCTATCTATCTATCTATCTATCTATCTATCTATCTACGTACCTCTATCTATCTACCTACCTACCTCTATCTATCTATCTATCTATCTATCTATCTATCTATCTATCTATCTATCTATCTATCTATCTATCTATCTATCTATCTATCTATCTATCTATCTATCTATCTATCTACGTACCTCTATCTATCTACCTACCTACCTCTATCTATCTATCTATCTATCTATCTATCTATCTATCTATCTATCTATCTATCTATCTATCTATCTATCTATCTATCTATCTACCTCTATCTATCTATCTATCTATCTATCTATCTATCTATCTATCTATCTATCTATCTATCTATCTCTATCTATCTATCCATCATGCTAACAACATGCTAATTCATGCTAGAATCATGCTAGTTACATGCTAATTCATCCTAGAATCACGCTAGTCACATGCTAATTCATGCTAGAATCATGCCAGTCACATGCTAATTCATACTAGAATCATGCTAACAACATGCTAATTCATGCTAGAATCATGCTAGTCACATGCTAATTCATGCTAGAATCATGCTAACAACATGCTAATTCATGCTAGAATCATGCTAGTAACATGCTAATTCATGTTCGAATCATGCTAACAACATGCTAATTCGTGCTAGAATCATGCTAGTAACATGCTAATTCATGTTAGAATCATGCTAACAACATGCTAATTTATGCTAGAATCATGCTAGTAACATGCTAATTCATGCTAGAATCATGCTAACAACATGCTAATTCATGCTAGAATCATGCTAGTCACATGCTAATTCATGCTCGAATCATGCTAGTCAAATGCTAATTCATGCTAGAATCGTGCTAACAACATGCTAATTCATGCTAGAATCATGCTAGTAACATGCTAATTCATGCTAGAATCATGCTAGTAACATGCTAATTCATGCTAGAATCATGCTAAGAACATGATAATTCATGCTAGAATCATGCTAGTAACATTCTAATTCATGCTAGAATCATGCTAACAACATGCTAATTCATGCTAGAATCGTGCTAATTCATGCTAAAATCATGCTAGTAACATGCTAATTCATGTTAAAATCATGCTAGGTACATGCTAATTCATGCTAGAATCATGCTAGTAACATGCTAATTCATGCTAGAATCGTGCTAGTAACATGCTAATTCATACTAAAATCATGCTAGTAACATGCTAATTCATGCTAGAATTATGCTAACATGCTAATTCATGCTAGAATCATGCTAGTAACATGCTAATTCATGCTAGAATCGTGCTAAAAACATGCTAAATCATGCTAGAATCATGCTAACAACATGCTAATTCATGCTAGAATCATGCTAATTAATGCTAAAATTATGCTAGTAACATGCTAATTCATGCTAGAATCGTGCTAGTAACATGCTAATTCATGCTAGAATCGTGCTAACAACATGCTAATTCATGCTAGAATCATGCTAGTAACATGCTAATTCATGCTAGAAACCTGCTAGTAACATGCTAATTCATGCTAGAATCATGCTAACAACATGCTAATTCATGCTAGAAACGTGCTAGTAACATGCTAATTCATGCTAAAATCATGCTACCAACATGCTAATTCATGCTAGAATTATGCTAACAACATGCTAATTCATGCTAGAATCGTGCTAATTCATGCTAAAATCATGCCAGTAACATGGTAATTCATGTTAAAATCATGCTAGGTACATGCTAATTCATGCTAGAATCATGCTAGTAACATGCTAATTCATGCTAGAATCATGCTAACAACATGCTAATTCATGCTAGAATCATGCTAGTAACATGCTAATTCATGCTAAAATCATGCTAACAACATGCTAATTTATGCTAAAATCATGCTAGTAACATGCTAATTCATGCTAGAATCATGCTAACAACATGCTATTTCACGTTAGAATCATGCTAATAACATGCTAATCTATCTATCTATCTATCTATCTATTATCTATCTATCTATCTTTTCATACTTTTTAAAACTGTTTAAACTAAATGAACTATTACCGTCAGGCTTTCACAAGCCAGCCTCAAAGTTTGTTCTCAAACTTTAAGAATCTAGTTCTATATTATTCTTCTTCTGAGACTAAAAATTAAACTCTATCTCGTCCTAGGCCTTTCAAGCTATGACCATCAAACTCGGGTCAGACCTCCGAACTATTCTGACTCGAGTTGCTATATCCTTTCCGACTGATCCGACTTTCGGTTTTCCGAAAAACGTCCCGGGACCGTCGGAAAAATCCCATAGACGTAACATTGGATCAAACTTTGTGACCTCATAACTCCGCATCAGAATGTCACACAGACTTCTAACTGGGCTCATTTAACTCAGACTATCAAACTGCCAATGACTGACCACCTTTAAACTTTCTGGCCACGCCCTAGCAACCACTTTTGGACCCTAGAAACCGTCCCATAGACTTCCATTGCAAAATACTCTCATTGACTTTGCATGGGATCAAACTTTGTGAGCTCATAACTCTGCATCAGACTGTCCTACAGACTAATGATTGAGCTCATTTAACTCAGTCTAGCCAGCAGCCAATCACTGATGTCCTTTTAACTTTCTAGCCACACCCTAACAACCAGATACTGCACCCTAGCAACTGTCCCATAGACTGCCATTAAAGAGGTTCAGACTGATATTGTCATGCTGCAGTGTGATAGAGACATGGGGGTTGTCTATCTATCTATCTATCTATCTATCTATAAACTGCTTCTATCTATCTATCTATCTATCTATCTATCTATCTATCTATCTATCTATCTATCATCTATCCATCATGCTAACAACATGCTAATTCATGCTAGAATCATGCTAGTTACATGCTAATTCATGCTAGAATCATGCTAGTCACATGCTAATTCATGCTAGAATCATGCTAGTCACATGCTAATTCATGCTAGAAACATGCTAATTCATGCTAGAATCATGCTAGTTACATGCTAAATCATGTTAGAATCATGCTAACAACATGCTAATTCGTGCTAGAATCATGCTAGTAGCATGCTAATTCATGTTACAATCATGCTAACAACATTCTAATTCATGCTAGAATTATGCTAGGAACATGCTAATTCATGCTAGAATCATGCTAACAACATGCTAATTTAAGCTAGAATCATGCTAGTCACATGCTAATTCATGCTAGAATCATGCTAGTCAAATGCTAATTCATTCTAGAATCATGCTAACAACATGCTAATTCATGCTAGAATCATGCTAGTAACATGCTGATTCATGCTAGAATCATGCTAGTAACATACTAATTCATGCTAGAATCATGCTAACAACATGCTAATTCATGCTAGAATCATGCTAGTAACATGCTAATTCTTGCTAGAATCATGCTAACAACATGCTAATTCATGCTAGAATCGTGCTAATTCATGCTAAAATCATGCTAGTAACATGCTAATTCTTGATAAAATCAAGCTAGGTACATGCTAATTCATGCTAGAATCATGCTAGTAACATGCTAATTCATGCTAGAATCGTGCTAGTAACATGCTAATTCATACTAGAATCATGCTAGTAACATGCTAATTCATGCTAGAATCATTCTAGTAACATGCTAATTCATGCTAGAATCATGCTAGTAACATGCTAATTCACGCTAGAATCGTGCTAATAACATGCTAAATCATGCTAGAATCATGCTAATAACATGCTAAATCATGCTAGAATCATGCTAACAACATGCTAATTCATGCTAGAATCATGCTAACAACATGCTAATTCATGCTAGAATCATGCTAACATTATGCTAATTCATGCTAGAATCATGCTAACAACATCTATCTATCTATCTATCTATCTATCCATCTATCTATCTATCTATCTATCTTTTCATACTTTTTAAAACTGTTTAAATAAACTATTACCGTCAGGCTTTCACAAGCCAGCCTCAAAGTTTGTTCTCAAACTTTAAGAATCTAGTTAACTAATACAACCTTATTGTAAAGCGTTACCAAACAAATGTTAACACCGACTGTGGTGTGAAAACATAATGAATCCCAGTCGGTAAACCAGGATCAAATCAGTTGCAGTTGACGGGGATTAAACTAATGTTATTTTAAGAAACCCTTTAATAACGCGATTAACTAGGATTTCCTGTTGATCCTCCTGACACTTTCTGTCATCGTGTGTTTGTTAGTACAGACGTGTAAACATAAGTCGTTGCAGGTGTATACTTACTACTCTCAGCTCCGTTTCCCCTCAATTTAAACGGTAGTTTGATTTTGAGACGAACGTTTGTTTTATTCTCCACATTCACCGCGCCGTTTTCTGATTGGCTGCTGCAGCGAAGAAACGTAAATGATTGGTCGAAGATTCCCCTATTTACAGTCCTGGACTGCACACTGTAACACACGCAGAACTGACGCCGAGACTGTGGAAGCACGTGAACCTGCTGAGGTGCCATCTAATAACTCTTTCTGCCCTCAAGGTAAGATTTTATCAAGGCATATTTTCCAATTATTTCTATATATATTGATAATATATGTTTTAAAATAAAGTAATGAGAAAATTATTAATATAGCGTACAGTTCTAATCAGAGAAGTGAGTAAAGAGCAAGCTATTGTAAAGTAAGCAAGCAATTGGATATAATGTGATGAAATGCCTCGTTTAAAAATCAGATTTAATCCAAACACTCACTCTTTCACGCTATTTAGCAACATACCTAGAAATTAAACACTAAACAATTCAATTTGGACTAACTTAGTTTGACACTGAAAGCTTCACACACCCTTTGGACAGATAACATAGTTAAGCAAACTTTGTTATGTAATGTAGGTCATAAATTCAGAATAAACTCATATACATTTTAGACATGAAATGTTGTTATGATTATACCATATAAAGTTTTGGATTCTCTAAAACTGATGGTGTTTCAGAGCCAATGTGAATAACACTAATATAATCCAAAAGGCCAGTGGGTTTATTATGTCTGTAAAAATGGACCTTGCTTTCACTGTCATAGCGATATGGTTTACTGATTAGTTTATTTATTACAGACCTTGTGAACACTCCTAATCTGAATGCAATGCAACTGCTTCTCTTTTTTATCCACAAAGAAAACCTGTTTGCTGTTAAATTTGCCTATCACATACGCCGTCATAGAAAGAGAAACAAGTGTTATCAACATCTACGTCATACTCAAATTTACAACACTGTAAACTGAGAATTTTATGACGAACTAATAAAGCGTATTGATTTACTGGTCTTTCATGAACCTGTAGAAATCCACCTGTCTACTAAAAATTAAAGAAGAATTTCTGATGTGAAACATTTTTTATGCACATAGCCTAATTATATTTAGCCTAGTGTACTTTGAGCTGCAGGTCAAAGCTTATTTTTCTTTTAAAAACTATTATTTGCTGTACAGCTATTCATATATAATTGCTTGCCATTTTAAATTGATGTACATTCAAAATAAAATTGCCTATAATTGCTCTGTGATTTCCACTGTTATATCTAAAATGACTTTTGCAAAGGATGCTTTTCAATTAGATTTGTTTGTATTCTGCTTTTAAAGGAAATGCAGTTTCATCAGCACTGATAAAGAGCTTTGAATTCATATCAGGGTGGAGGTTTTCTTCATTTGCAATGCCGATAAGTGACATGCGGCAAGACGGCAATGGTCTCGACACAATGGGCGAGATTGACAGTAATGGCAGCTGTGATAGCGTGGTCAGCTTCAACTCATGCTTTGTAAGAAGTACCTTTATTTTATGAAGACATATCAAAGCACTGAAAGTTTATAGCATTCAAAACCTGTGTGACTTTATTTTGTGACTGTCAAAAGACAATTTTCGATACATTAGTGTCATTACTGTAATGGTGATTTCCATTCAAATTGATGCATGCTGTTGTTTTGCTTATTATAAATATCAATGCAGTTACACAGACCAATGATTTAGGAGGATTCTGATTGACTGTCAATGTTATTGTTGTTAATCCTCTGGACTTAAATTGTTTCATAAGTGATTTCAGTGAGTTTGTTTCTCTTTATCATTTATCATTATTGTTGTAAAGTAGACAAAATGGTGTGAATAGTATCGTTTTACAACTCCCATAGAGTTAATCTGTTGAGTTTTACCATTTTTGAATTCATTCTGTTGATCTCAGGTAGACCTTTTAGCTTAGCTTAGCATTATTCATTGAATTGAATTAGACCACTAGCATCTCGCTCAAAAAAAAGTTTTCATAAGTTTGCTATTTAAAGCTTGACTCTTCTGTTGTTATGTTGTGTACTCAGACCGATGGAAAATAAAAAGTTTTTATTTTCTAGGCCAATATGGCTAAAAATTATACTCTCATTATAATAATAATCAAGGAACTTTGCTGACGTACCATGGCTGCAGCAGGAGTAATGATAATAGCAACTTTTCATTTTTCATCGTTTTATTAGACAATGTAACTATGGAAGGGTCAAGCTTTAAATAGGAAAATTATGAAAACTCTATTTTATTTTTTTTAGCAAAATGCTAATGGTCTAATCCAATTCAATGAATTATGCTAAGCTAAGCTAAACGTGTTCTCACCTGACCCAGAGACTGGCTGAATGGATTAAACAGTTGTTGTTGGTTTTTTATGATTTTTATGTTTAATTACAGTAAAAAAAAGAAGACAAAACAAAATTTTATTTCAAAAAGAATAGATAGTATCAACTTAAGCACATACAATGAGAACAAAACAAGCAAACAAGCAAATCAGATTGTATTTTTGTAAGATTGAATGATGTAGGCAAAATTCCAAAAATGGCAATCAGTGGGCAAGGGGAGATATATATATACCCAAAAACATATAGTTTTAAAAGAAGTGTCCCAATAGTAATTAAGCTTTATACAAGACCAAAACATATGTGCATGAGTGGCTGGGGTGGAATTACAGCGATTGCAATCTGGATCTATATGCTGAAAGTGCTTTAAGAGCTTTAGGTTTGTCCAGTGTACACGATGCACAATTTTGCACTGCAGAAGTCCATGTCTTGCACAGACAGAGGACTTGCGAATTCTGTATAGGACTGATTCCTAATTCTCATCTGAAATTGCCCAGATCGTCTTCCCACACAGATTTCATTTGGGAATGGGATATATCAAGTTGGTGCCATAATTTTATAGTAGAGTGACGATATAATCCTATTAAATTGTGGGACTTTCCAGTAAATTATTAAATGAGGAGCTAGGAGGCGATGCCGGAAAATGAGGGAACATTTTACGCACAAAATCGCGAATTTGGAGATAACGGAAAAGAGTTGTTATTTGCAATATTAAACTTTTCACATACCTGCTGAAATGAAGAGAACTGTTCAGTTTTACCATTTTGAATCCATTCAGCCAGTTTCTCAATAGCTCCTGCTGCAGCCATGGTCAGGGGTGTACCCAGCAATTTTCGGCCCTATGCACAATATTTTTTAGTGGGCGCCTCTTATCATAAAATGAAGAGCAAGTGAGACCCTTAAGTTTGCCGTCGATGGGCCCCTAAATTGCCGGGCCTTATGCACTCTGCACCCCCCCTCCCCCTTTACTGGCGATGCCTCTGGCCATGGTACTTCAGCAAAGTTCCTTGATTATTACGCCAGAATGAGAGTTTAGTTTTTAGCCATATTGGCCTGGAAAACAACAACTTTTCATTTTCCATTGGTTCACAACATAACTACAGAAGAGTCAAGCTTTAAATAGTAACTTATGAAAACTCTTTTTTAAAATGTTTATTATTTATTTTATTTTTTTAAGATAGGTCTAATCGAATTCAATTAATTATGTTAAGCTAAGCTAAAAGTGCTTCAGCCAAACCTGGAGATCAGCGTAATGCATTCAAAAATGGTAAAACCCTACTGTTTAACTCTTGGGGAGTTGTTAAAGGAGCCGATTTTCAAAAAAATAGTGTTGTCTTTACGGCTTTCATTTCATAGCCAAAAATATTATTCATAATGTGTGTTGTTGTGCTTTAAATAAAGTCAATCTTACAGGTTTTGACCTAAATATAAATGAGTAAAAGTTTAGCCATTCACAACGATTTCTGTTTCAGAGTGATGAAAGTCTAGAGTATCTTTCCGCTGAGGAGAAGGCTTGTCTCATGTACCTAGAGGAGACTATTCAGTCATTGGATACAGAGGATGACAGTGGCTTGTCTAATGACGAATCCCTTCAGCTGCCAGCACGAGGAAATGTAGCTAACAAAGCAGCCCACATCTCTGCATCAATAAAACTCAACAAGCTCCCTAGTCAAGGTGTGCTGGAGCTCCTTTACTATTTCTAGCTCTTATCTATTGCTAATAGGTACGTAAATCCTAAGAGGTCATGCGTTATTATATTTTTCAAGATCATGACTTAATGTTTTATCATTATCTCCTACAGACTGAACTGCTGCTGTAGGAAAACACTTGCGCTGCCTCTTCATTATAAACAATCATTAAGTTACATGCGAAAGATTCTGGCTGCTATCATACACCCTGCGCAATAAGACGCCAGACGTGTTTGGCACGATTTGTGGCTATTTTCAGACCATCGCAAACCTAACTTTCATGTTTGCACCACACTATTTAAATAGCAAATCAATTTGCACCTCTTTATGGACTCATGGGTGTGCTGGTCTAAAATAGAGGTGTGTTGAGGCGCATTGTTGGTGCGTTGCTATTTTGAAGAACTGAAATAGACTGCGCCATTGACCGTCTAAAAGCAGGTCGAAAATCGTTAGTTATGCACCTACGTGGGCTCAACCCATAAGAACAGCATGTGTATTTGGATATAACTCAGTTTTTTGACCACACTTCTTTATTATTGTTTATTTATTCGTTTGCTGGAAATTAGAACTGAATTTAGAAATAGCTTTGAAACAAATCTTTGCGTTTAACAAACGAAATTAAATATGTAGGCTAATGGATGTCTTTAGTGGACAACAACGTTTCCTTATTCATGAAAGGAAAGGAGTAAAGAGTGAAAGTAAAGAGGCTGAATGGGGGAGGCTTGTTCTTTATCCTTGCGCTGCAGATGGTCTGTTTAACTGTTTTCTCACTAGTGTAGCGTTTTCCACTTACAAAGTCCACCATGTAGATAGCAAATGTGCTATGGCATGACGCAACTGACTCTTAAATGGAAATCTGAGATGAGACTGATTGGTTTAATGCAGGTTATGCTTAAAACACACCCATAATTCATTAAGAGCATAAGCACAACCCTTTTAGACCATGCGCCGTGGCGCAGAGTGTATTTTTCCATGCTTAAAACAGCAAAAGTGGACTCGAACATGCTTTTAATGCTTCTGCGCCACGCGCTTTAGACTTTGCGCCTAGATCGTTAAAATAAAACCCTCTTTTTTAAAGGCAGGAACGTAGCCTACATCTGAAAATTTTTGGTAGCCGGTCATACATTGGGCAGGTATAAATAAATAATAATTAATGCATAAATCAATAAAAACAAAAAAAGTATGTTGTGATCACAAGAAAACAACTCATTGTTAAGTCGAGATCATGAGAAAACAGTATTGATCACAAGAAAACGAGTTGTGTCGAGATCATGAGGAAACAAGAAAGAATAATAAGCAATGCATGGCCTCGTAGGACTTTTAAAAAAAAAACTTCCAGGCTGGGTGATATGACAAAAATCTCATATCAAAATAAAAGTCATCTCACATCCTGATAATGACATACTGGAGTACCATTTTTGTAAATTCAATCAATTGATAGTTTATCTATATTGACCACATGTTAAACATCATTTCTTTTTAACATTTTAAAAGGATATACTCAAAAATGTACTCGTTCATATGTGATCATATTTAGGGCCAGTTTTTAGGGCAGCATTTATAAATTGCCCATGTCTTGAGGTAGTTCAGTTTGATGTAATTTACTTTCTATATGCGATTGGATTGGACAGGAATCGTAGAACTGATTTTTATACTCTGTCAATCCCCATAAACAAGACAAAAATAAAGTAGTGAATGCAGGTTAAAGGAAAATAGTGGAGTAAAAGTACCAATACAGCTCTAAAAATGTACTCAAGGGACAGTAAATGTACACATTTTTAAAACTAGCCTACTTAGTAAATTACAATTCCTGAGAAAAACTACTCAATTACAGTAATTGGGGTGCTTGTAACTCATTACTTTACACCACTGTTTAAGGGCAAATGTTAATCTAAAATATAGAAAATAAGTATAACACACTTTTCACTAAATAAGAAAGGAAACATTGTACTTTAAAGGTTGCAGCACTTTTTTGCGATGCTGTTATTCATGTTTCTGTCTGCATCCCAGTAGTGCAATACTGCACTTATCTAAATGAGGAAAAAGTATGATAAACAATGTATTTAGTGACATACTGAAATAATATATATGGTCATATTGCAATATATATGGTCATATATCTGATAATGCCCTAATTTATATTTTCTTTGTTGTAGATATGCCCAAAAGCCGATCTGAAGGTCTATATTCATCTGGCAGCTTCGAGCAAAATTCTGAAATTCTGAATTATATGGTTCCTACGCCATTTGTCCTCGCAAACCATAATTCAAAACTCCAAACCAGAGCTGCGTCCCAGAAAAACACAGCATCCAAAGTGACATCTGAATCTATCCAGATCCACCAAGAAGCTCCACGAGTTCCCCCAGAGGTCAACGTTGTTGTGATACCACCTCCACGTAAAGCCAAAAGTAGTAAAGAAATTAAGAAGGAACAACAGAAAAATTTGCAGTCAGAGAACGTGGCGCATAGAGGACCGCTTTCCTATGAAGCTCTGGTGCAGCTGCGCAAGAGTGCGTCCATGAGGAAAACCAATGCAACTGAAGCTAATTATTCCACAAAAAAAGATATTAATGGGAAAACCTCTGAATCCCAAACCATTTTCAAACCTGCTCCTCCACCGGTAGCTCCTAAACCTAAAAAGAAATTGAACCAAGAAGGAGCATCTGGAACCAATAAGGACTCCTCGATGGCTTATTCAGGAGAAAAATTAATGAATCCAGAGAAAGTAAGAGTGGAGGCTCTTTGCAAGTTGGGTCTTCTCAAGGAAGACGCAAAGATCTGCAAACAGCTAAAGCAATCTCAATCTAAACCAGCAAACCAGGCCTCAAGTGAACATCTTGCAAACAGTATCCCAGCAAGACCTGAAGAACAAATAAATCAGACAGTTCAAAGATCCAGTCCGCTCCACCAGAGGTCAGCGAGCGATCTTTTGACATCGTCTTCCCATGCACAACATGCCAATATGACTTCAACGGCAAAATCCGCCACTTTGGAACGCACTGGAATGGGACTGTCTGGATCAAACACCAATGCAGTTTCTCAGAGCCACAGGCCACGCTCTTCTACAATGGCAACCAATAAAGATACTCAAATGGATGCAAATGAATCGACACCCAGAAAACCCTTCAATATATTGTCGTCTCGTACAAAAGTTTTCAGCGTGCCGGTTCCCAGCATCGGAAAAGATCGGAGAGAGGCATTACGAAAACTAGGATTGTTGAAAAACTGAGATTTGTTCTCTACGGTTTTTTTTCCCCCAGGTCCGAATCAATGCTCCATTTAACAAGAATACTATCTTATCAGTCATTTATGAGCACTATATGTTTTACAACTTTCTTCCGAAGACAACAATAGCTTCAAAAGTAACCGTTGAGCCTACTGAGGCTTTGAAGTGGAGATAAAGGTTAGGATGTGATTTTTGCTTGCTGGGTTTCTATGGAACAAAATCAGTGCCAAAAGTATTGAAATAAAAAGCTGAATTATACTGAATTAACAACTGAATTAACAACTGCTTGCATTTTAATGACTTGAATTGCCAGGGTTTGAATTTTTAGGTCCTGAAACTGAACACAGCTGTTTATTTTAGGGTTTAGAATACCCTGGAGTACTTTTTATTCATTTTAACAGATTTGTGTTTGTTGAGAATTAGTTGAGACAGCGTTAGCACCTGTCAGGTTTGATTGTGGGGAAAACTGGATAATTTTGAGCTTTTGTCAGCTAATTTCATCTTCCGGGTTTAATATAATTTTTGGGGGGGATCAAAAACTGTGACGTAGCGTGCATCTGCGAGTGGAGTGATGATGCGTCGGTTTTCATTATTACACATCGTATCCCATGAGAAGACACTGCTTCTTAATTATTCATGAGAGCATGTGCTTTCAGAAGGCAAGGCAGAACTGCCAAGCTGTGAGACCCAATGACTGGGTGAGCCCATGTCAGCACATGCCACGGGTCGTATGTGTTTGTTTCCATGATCCACGGGGTTTATTGCATGTTTTTCTTTGTGATTCTTTCAGGCCCAATACAGTAAAGCTGTTGGTTTGCAGCACATATTTTTGTTGGGCGAGCTGTTCGAGAAATGGAAAATGGTGGACTTTGTCTTTTATCAATTGAGTTTGTTACCATTCAGACACATTGCCTATATCCGTGCTGCTGTGTTCACCATTTGCTTAAAATCTTCTAGATACCTCATTTATAGTGTTTATATAAACACGATTATCTATATGATGATACAAAAAATTGTTGTTATGTGTATATAAAATTACGAATAATCTATCGTATATGTAGCAGGGGATTAAATTACGTGAAGTTTCCACAAACTAATATCCAGACGAGCATGTGATATGATTGATCACAGCTGATCTCTCATCTATAATCAATAGTTAGCCAATCAGATTAATCCAAACTCACTATAAGTAGCCTGGCTAAAACTACTGCCTTATCATCGTTTCTCGAAGAAACCCCCATCCACCCCATCTCCTCCTGTACCAGGGGGAGCTCTCAAGAACTACCTAATCTCGTACTTCCCTTACATGCTCATTGACCAGGCGGGAATCCTGGGCTCAATTATCACAAAGCTTAGGCTTCTCTTCCAGGCTTCTTTTCCAGGCAAACCTGCTATTATTATCAAGCAATATCTAAGTGCGAACTCTTGAATAACCATTTATTTATTTGCATTTTAACTTTGTAAACTATAAAATCATGCGTCTCCTCACGGTTTGTGTCTCATTTTGCTAGCCAACTGAAAGTTGTTCGCTCTTTTTCCCCCTGCTCTGCCGGCCACGCCCACTCCTCCCTCCGCTCGCAGAGCTCCACGCCCATTACGAAGCATTTTTTGAAAGAATTCGGAGGTAGACTTGAATCGAAAAAGGGGGGTTTAATGGCCCTTTAAATTGCTCCATCTCCACCTGCTGGTAAAAAAAGCAGAGCTCTGGATATGGCGAGTCTGCAATCTGTTGCTTTTCCTGCAGTTTTCGGATGAAATGTTGAATTTTAAAAGTCGAATTTAAAACCACCGAATTTATGGAAGCAAATTTCTAAAACTGAAATAAAATGAGCTGAAAATTGCCTTTTGAATATTATACATGGTATTTTCAAACACAACTGAATATTTTAGAGGTGAAATCTGGAAGTTGAATATGAAGTATTGAATTGAAGAATGTGTTTTGAATTGAATTATTCACTGCTTAAATAAACACTAGACACTATGGACAATTTCAGGACCTAAAATACAAACCTTGGCAATTTAAGCCATTAAATTAAGTGTTAAGTGTAAGAATTAAGTGTATTTTTTTTTTTAGTTAGTGCTATTCGACAAGCTTTTTACTTCAATACTTTTGGCACCGATTTTGTTCCATAGGTTTCAATCACCTTGTTAATAGGCATTTTGAAAGTATTGCATATAACGCATAAAACACGTTCAAAAATACGTTTTTATGCTCGCTTGAGGTGGTTCGGACATGTGTTTTTTGGTTTTGTGGAAAGGGCTTAATGCAAATAGTTGGAGATGGAAACGCATTTGCAGAATAAACTTGTAGAGGACATAGACCTGTCACGGTATAATTTTTTTGTTGCATGATATATTGCATCAAAATATATTGCAATAAACAACATTATTGTCATTTTAGGACCATTTTTTGCAGCTCATTATATAATGGCAGAACGACAATATAATATCACGATGCAAGTACACTCTTCCATAGAACACATCATATTTTATTCTTAAGAATTTTTAATTTAGTTGTAGTCATTTTAACTATTTATTAATGCGGCATTGGAATCCGAACGTGAAAATGCATATTCTAAATAAATAAATAATAACAAATGTGACAAAAAAAGTGCAAGGTAAACAGTAACAGAGGCTGCGATATCTGCCACCAGATCTATGTTCAGTTGTCAGACACCCACATGAAAATATACTATAGTTATTTATAGTAAACACTATAGTGTTTCTAACCATACTGACACCTCCAATAGAGACAGAGATGTTGCACAATCAGCTAAAATTGTTTTTTATGTATGGGTGATATATATATATTGCATACCTAAAAATGATTGAGGTCATGTCCACGTGTTGTGCGATAGGCCTGTCAAAATATTTAATATATCGACTTAAGTGGACATTACATGTGACCGATCATTACGCTTGCCTTGTTTACTATTGGTTAGGTTACTAGGTTATCAATACTACAGTGAGCTGCTCTAACAGCTTAATGGAAACACACATTTGGGATTTTATTTTAACTTTGGAGAAAAAAAAAAAAAACATTTAGCAGGTTTTAAAAATGTTGTCGTAGCATATTAGCTCGAACATTGGTGTGATTTTTGGATGTTTGATGAACAAGTTATTTCTGTGATTCTTTTTGGTAGCAATGGCCACAGAAACTTTACCCTTCACTGTTTTTTGTTTATAAGAAATACAGTGTGGTAAGTGGTGCGACACGATAGCTTAGTGGTTATCACTGTTGCCAAATAACAAGAAGGTTGCTGGTTCGAGCCCCGGATGGGCTGGATTGACATTTCTGTGTGGAGTTTGCATGTTCTCCCAGTGTTGGCGTGGGTTTCCTCCGGGTGCTCCGGTTTACCCCACAGTCCAAAGACATGCGCTGTAGGTGAATTGAATAAACTAAATTGGCCATATGAGAGGGATTGAGTGTGAATGGGCATTTCCCAGCACTGGGTTGCAGCTGAAAGAGCATCTGCTGTGTAAAATATATGCTGGAATAGTTGGCGGTTCATTCCACTGTGGCGACCCTTGATGAATAAAGGGATTAAACCGAAGGAAAATGAATGAATGAGTGTGGCAAGTTGCTTTATTTTGATGACTTAGTGCTTTGACGGATCCATCTTGAGGGCCAATAGGTTGATGGATTGGTTACAAATCTAAATCTACTAAATCTAGTATAAAAGGTGTGGTCGCAATAGCGAAATTAAGTATTTCACAAGCAAGAAAAGGTCTATTGCCTCGCATTTTAGTCACTTTCAAACCAAGCAGCTTTTTTATGGTGAAGGAGGCAGAATGTTTTCAGCATTCATGTGAAACTCCTGATTCTCATTTAACTGGACTTTGCCCATGACATTTAGCTAAACAATGGTTAATGAGATCGCACAATAGCCCCTTTCACACATACAGACCTTTGGTTGTTGTATGTGTGAACAGGTCCTTTTTGAAAATACCGGTAAATTCGTTCTGGCTATTTTCCGGAAAGAGAAGTTGTAACATTACCGGCAATTTGCCGGAATGCTGCGCTGTGTGAATGCAGAAGGAAGATTCCCGTAATAAGCGCGTGCACGTCTAGAACGTGCTGACGTGAGACGTCTGCTTTAGCCAATCACAACAGTCAGACGCATTTACGTCCGCGCGGTTTGTGAGGATAAAAGCCTTTGAATATTTTTCCAGACGCATTTAGCTGCTAGAAGTTAGTCAGATCACGTTTATATGTTCTTCTTTATACCAACTGTGTAAATAATCATCGATGAGATGCTTATGATAAGCCGTTGTTTGTTTACCTTCAAGCTTTGCGTGCGCCTATGAGCGCCTGCACACGCACATATTATGAACATCTGAAGTGATCCTGCGAAAGTTGTTCACAATATTGATCATCCACAGAGTCTGTAATTTAGTCAAATGTTTACAAATACAAGCGCAGCCGTTTAAAGCTCATTTGTGGTGAATGATGTCAGAATTTACCGGTATTTTGGAATGGATGTGTGAATGCTCTTTTCCGGAAAATTTCCGTAACGTCCTCGCCTGTGTGAACAGCGCTTTTTTGAATATACCGGTAATGTCGTTCTGGAAATTTTCCGGATATTTACCGGTATCACTGTGTGAAAGGGGCTATTGAAACCAGGATGCCTTCGACTAAGATGATACAGTAGATTTACTTTTCCTGGTGAACTTGGAAATGAAAATGGATGAAGAGATGTATGGATGCAGTTGTCATTATTTCTGTTAAATGACAAGACTTTTGTCCAAGCAAAGTCAGACCTTACTGTCCTAATCAAATCCTTAAAAATCAAGGCATGATCATATTTTATTATGGTAAAATAAGTGTACTCTAGAGGCCTTTGCTTTTTATATAAGCCACTTCTGATACCAAATGATCAACTAGAAGTCAAGTTATTATTTGTTGTTCCTACCATTTGGATAGACAAGACGTTTGTCAGGTAGTGTAATGACTACATTTTCATTTTTGGGTGAACTATCCCTTTTAGTCTTAACTTCCGAACTGAGTAGATTAGCAATTAGCCCTAAATCACTTACTAAATTAATGTTGAAAGAGAGCTCCAAATCAATTGAAATCAAGCTAGTTTTGCATTTCCAAATGATCACTTCCCAAAAAATCACTTTCTGTTTTCTGGAATAGAATGAGGTTTGTCTGCTTCACCGCAGGCTGTCGAAGGCGAGGATCAGCTATCAGTCAAACTCCTCATTTTACACGGCGCTCAGTGCGATCTGACACAGCACTTCATTGGATTAGTGCATTATCTTGGGTTGCAACCAACAGACTGGTGTTCATGTTACCTGGCATCTCAGATTAATCTGTCATTAAAGTTCTTTATCTCAGAGCGTGACCTAGTTCATGACTTACACTGAGAATGGGTCCTTCTGTTTCTGTTGACTCAGTTAACAGTTGCCCTTTCATGATTGCTCTAACCGAAACCACACCATAATGTGCACGGTAAACAGCAGTGAATTACGCCAGCAAAGCAATAATTTAAGTCTCACTCTGTGGTGTTTTATTAGATGGCGTAATATTGTGTAAGCTGCATCCAAGTTCAAGCACTGCTTAACATGCTTAACTAAAAATCTAAACCTTTTGCACACTGTAAAAAATATTTGTCAAATAGTTATTTCATCTTATTGGTTTAAAGGGATAGTTTACCCAAAAGTGAACATTTATTCATTCTCAAGTGGTTTCAAACCTTTATGAACCTTTATGTTTGAAAAATGTTAGAAACCTTTAATTATTATTGAAGCCCATTTCCGCCACTGAATAAAATTAATTAAAAATTATTTTTAAAATTATAAAGACAGAATTGTGACTTATAAAGTCAGAATACTGAGTTATGAAGTTGTGATTCCGAACTATAAAGTCGCAATTCCGAGTTAAAGTTAAAATTGCAAGTTATAAAGTCAGAATACTGAGATATAGTCGCAAAACCGAGCTATAAAGTTAGAATTGCGAGTTATAAAGTCAGAATACTGAGTTATAAAGACACAATTACGACTTATAAAGTTGCAATTCAGAGAAATAAGGTCAGATTTGCGAGTTACAAAGTCAGAATACTGAGTTACGAAGTTGCAATTCCGAGCCATAAAGTCGCAATTCCTAATTATAAAGTTAAAATTGCAAGTTATTGAGTCAGAATACTGAGTTAGTCGCAATTATGAGTAATAAAGTCACAATTTCGACTATTACTTGCAATTCCAAGTAATAAAGTCAGATTTGCGAGTTACAAAGTCAGAATACTGAGTTATGAAGTTGCGATTTCGAGCTATAAAGTCGCAATTCCGAGTTATAAAGTTAAAATTGCAAGTTATAAAGTCAGAATACTAAGTTTTAGTCGCAACAAGGAGTTATAAATTTAGAATTGCGAGTTATAGTCAGAATACTGAGTTATAAAGTCGCAATTCCGAGTAATAAGGTCAGATTTGTGAGTTATAAAGTCAGAATACTGAGTTATGAAGTTGCGATTCCGAGCTATAAAGTTGCAATTAATAAAGATGATTATTAATTATTATTTTAATTAAAAAGTTAAAATTGCAAGTTATAAAGTCAGAATACTGAGTTATAGTCGCAATTCCAAAGTTATAAAGTCAGAATACTGAGTTATAGTCGCAATTCCAAAGTTATAAAGACAGAATACTGAGTTATAGTCGCAATTTCAAAGTTATAAAGTCAGAATACTGAGTTATAGTCGCAATTTTAAAGTTATAAAGTCAATACTGAGTTATAGTCGCAATTCCAAAGTTATAAAGTCAGAATACTGAGTTATAGTCGCAATTCCAAAGTTATATAGTCAAAATTGCGAGTAATAAGGTCAGATTTGCGAGTTTTAAAGTCAGATTTGATTGATGAGAAAATGATGACAGAATTTTCAGTTTTGGGTGAACTCATCACTTGCTCACCCGTCACTTGTTTTAAACCTTCATGAGTTTCTTTCTTCTGTTAAATAAAAAAGATATTTTCAAGAATACTGAAAAGCCTGTAATCATTAGCCCCTTTCACACAGTGATACCGGTAAATATCTGGAAAATTTCTGGAACGACTTTACCGGTATATTCAAAAAAGCGCTGTTCACACAGGCGAGGACGTTACGGAAATTTTCCGGAAAAGAGCGTTCACACATCCATTCCAAAATACCGGTAAATTCTGACATCATTCACCACAAATGAGCTTTAAACGGCTGCGCTTGTATTTGTAAACATTTGACTAAATTACAAACTCTGTGGATGATCAATATTGTGAACAACTTTCGCAGGATCACTTTCTCATGTCGAGATGTTCATAATATGTGCGTGTGCAGGCGCTCACTGTTT